TGTGACCGGGCGCGGCCCGCTTCCCTTGTTCTCTGTTTGAGGGGGTGTGAGGTAAACGCCCCTCACCCTGCAGCAGCCTGGAAGCGGTGCCGTTCCACCCCAGTGGCACTGCTGCCACCTGTGTTTGTAACCGGGCAGAACCGTGGCCTTGAAACGGCACAAGGGGTTTCAGGCACCTTCAAAACGTAAACGTTCTGCGAAAAAGTGATGGGTTTCCTGCTGGTTCTTGCAGCTTGGGTGGGTATTAACAATGCACTGGATGGGAAGTGCCAGTCCTGCAGTGGGATATGCGTCATCTTCATCCTCATTTCTTTTCCTACAGAAGCCATCCCAAGAAGTGTCCGGGAACTCCTCTCCACACCAAACGCATACACACGCCCTGGCAGGTTCATAACTTGGGCATGATGCGACCTGGTACCCAGTAGAAATCGGCAAATAAAGGAATGAAATGCCTTTGACACTTAGACTTCTTGTCTTTTTTTGCCTTTCATCATGTGTCAGGATATTTTCGTGGCACCATCATCCATAATTGAAGGCTGATCTTGAAATCCAAAGAAATTAAATTTTCATAATTAAAAAAATGTTGACACAGAAATTATGCTTTGTCAGTTTGCTTTTTAAACAGCAATACAAATGCTGGCTAGGATTCCCAGGATCCTTTTGACGTGCGGAAAGCAGACTCCACAGTCTGTAAGATGGTAAAGTAGGTATGTTTCTTCAGCGCTGGGCAGCACAGGGGATAATCCCACCAAAGCCGTGCTTGCCTGTCATGACAATTTGCTCTAAATTTATACAGTAACTGTTGCATATACATGAGATTTCCTAATACTCCTATACATATGTATGACCTGTCTCCGCTTCGTATTAAAATTAGGACTCCTCCTCCTTGTGCTTGCGCAGTATCTTCTGGTGGTGGTCTTCTGGGGTCATGGGGGATGAAGGCCATAGGTCTTCCTCACCATGCACTTTTCACCCCTTGGTCTTGCGCATGCTCAAAGTTTTCTTGGGTTCTCTCCAAACTACAAGGTCAGCTTCAGCCAGTTAGGAACTAGTTCTTGTGAGAAACTGCTAATTTTATCTAGTCCTTGCTGATTTCAGGGACTGCTGTTTGTAACAAGTCACAGAGCTCCTTTATAAAACATGTTACAACTTAATGATTTCCTAACCTACAATTCCCTATTTCAGTCCCCCCTTTTCTATAAAATTAGTAAATTCATTTACTATGTTTAATGTCATTCTGACATCCTCAAAGTACTTATTAGATTCAAGCTTTCGGCGAAGTTGATTCTTCTTCCATTTACTATAAAAACCTCCTGTACTTTGAAAGCAGCACAAACAACATCGGATTGTTAGGCAAAGAATTATAGTTAAAAAGGCTATCACTATTACCGTGACAAACAATTGTTTTAGCCATGTTAAGTTTGGTAACTAAGAGGTTAATTTCTCTCATACTTCTTCAGATCCCCACGAGGTACTATCTAGTGTTATTTTGTGGAAAGCACTAAGCTGTTTCCAGATCTCGGATAAATCAGTGGAAATGCATTGTTGCTGGTCTACATAACTACAGCATGAATCACTGATCACTTTACAAACGCCCCCTTCTTTAACATATAGCATGTCTAATGCCATCCTGTTTTGCAAAGTAGTCTTTGAGAGGCTTTGTATTTCTAACTGTTGCACTGCTATAGCATCTGCGGTAGCCTTAAACGATGTTTCTAGCGTAGCGGAAAGGTTTACAATAGCTTTTTCTAGTTCACTTACCCCTAACCAAGGTATAAACTGTCTTGCAAAACTATGAAATGCAGTAGGTCCTTTGATGAGCGGATTTGTGCGCTTCACACGTTTTAAGGATGTCTGAATCCATCCTTCATCTAATTGCTTTGTCACTGTGACATACGGGTATACTGGGCCTATGGCACATTCGCCTTTCCATCCCAATGGCAAGACCTTGCGTGCTGTATTTCCGCACAACCAATATAGTCCCTTGCCTGACAGGACTGGCGATCCTTTTGGTATTGTTTGTGGCCTTATTTTAGTTTGTTTTTTATTTCATATATTTGCTGCTCCATATTGCCAATAAGATGAGCAATTGGGGAATTTCCCTATGAATATAACTCCATAACCTTTGTCTGTCGAATTACCTCCCATATTATTATCAATACTCTTCAGAGAACATCGTTGCACACAGCTGATCTTGGTTTTGTTAAACAACATAAGGTTAGAGGGGTTCCGCCTAAGGGAAATCCTCCTTGTGCACTTTTAGGCATTTGGGTGCAAACCCAACACTCAGATAGGTTATGTTGTTTGACAATTTCCTTAAGCAAAATTAGATACATGTTCTGATTCCATGCTATAATTTTATCAATCCAATATAGGCTGATCGAAATCACACAAGCTAAAGCCTTTTTAGCCATCTGCTCCGTTTAGAGTGTTACAGAGTTGTCCTACTGTTTATAGATTTATGGAAGTTACATAGCCACCTTAGTATTTTGTCTATGTAGCTTGAGTTTAAGGCGTGCCTTGGCTTCTGAAGTGCATATTTTTTGTAGCGCTTTCTTCACTCTGGTATAATGTATCCAAGCATTTTTTTCTTTGATCTTGATTGCCGTGAAGGAGCTAAGTAGTACCTGGAATGGCCCCTCCCACTGCGGCTCCAGAGTCTTTTCTGCAAGATACTTAATGGATACATAATCTCCAGGTTGTATATTATGAACTGGTCCATCCAAACGTCTTCCCCAAGTTCAAATTACATATTTTCTGATTTTATTAAGCTGTCTGCCTAATGCTACTATGTAGGAAGTCATAATCTCATCCCCAACTTGTACAGACATTCTCTTTTGTATTCCATAGGGTTGTCCATACAAAATTTCAAAGGGGCTCAGCCCTTCCCTTGCCCTTGCTCTGGTTTGTATGCGTAAAAGGGCTAAGGGAAGAGATTGAGGCCGTGTCAGGTTTGCTTCTTGTCCCAGTTTTACAATTTGCTGTTTGATTAAGTGGTTCATTTTCTTTACCTGGCCACTTGACTGTGGGCGATATGGGGTATGAAGCTTCCAATCTATATCCAAATAGCAGCTTATTTGTTGTATCACTTTCGAGATAAAATGTGGTCCCCTATCAGAAGATATAGCCACTGGAACCCCAAAACGTGGTATTATCTCCTGTGCTGATATCTTAGTTACCTCCCGAGCCTTGGCTGTCCTGGTTGGGAATGCTTCTGGCCAGCCTGGAAAGGTATCAGTCAATACCAATAAATATCAATACCCCCCTTTTCTTGGGAGTTCTGTAAAGTCAATCTGCCACTATTGTCCAGGTCCATGTCCTTTCCCAGTCTGGCCCATTTCCGGCTTAGGGTTATTCTTGGGATTAGTCTGGATGCAGAGACCACACTGCTGAGTCACCTGTTTTATTGTGGTGTATAAGTTTCTGGCCACAATTTCTCTATTTAAGTGTTTGTATAGAGCCTCTGTTCCCCAATGCCTTTTCCTATGTTTCTCCCTTATCAAATGCCATAATAAGCAGGAGGGAATGATTATCTTTCCCTGCGGGGTGTGGACCCATCCTTCTTCATTATATGATCCTTCTAAATCTGTAATAAGCTTCTGGTCATGTTCAGTATATTCTGTATTTCCTTTTAGAGAAATTCGCCCGTCCGGGACTAAAGCCCCCTCTGTCTTTACTTCCATTTTGGGTACCTGTTTTGCCTCTCTATCTGGCAGCTCATTTCCTTTTTCCAATTCTGAGCTTACTCTCC